GTATATAAAGTACTCCATCTTACTAGTATCTTCCGTGATTTAGGAACATCACATGTCTTTCCTAGGACTTGCCCCAGTCTCTAGTGTAATCTCCCTGTTTTCTCCCAAAGCTGAATTGAGGGGGCATAGTAAGTACCATTTCACCACCCTCACCCAGTAGGCTCACAAGCGAGGGTTGTTCTTGAACTAACCCCACAACATAGAAAGGTTGCTTAACTCATGCATGTGGACCCTTCTGTGGACTTACCATGGCACCATGTGAGGATTTTCTTTTTTATAGTTAGTTTGTTTGTTTTTGAGAGTGAGAGCTCCCATCTATTTGATTCACTTTCTTTTTTTTTTTTAAATTTATTTATTTATTGGAAAGTCAGATATACAGAGAGGAGGAGAGACAAAGAGGAAAATCTTCTGTCCAATGAATCACTCCCCAAGTGACCACAACGGCCGGTGCTGTGCCTATCCAAAGCCAGGATCCAGGAACTTCTTCTGAGTATCCCACACGGGTGCAGGGTCCCAAGGCTTTGGGCCGTCCTCGACTGCTTTCCTAGGCCACAAGCAGGGAGCTGGATGGGAAGTGTAGCAGCCAGGATTAGAACCGGCGCCCATATGGGATCCCAAGGCGTTCAAGGCGATGCCTTAAGCCGCTAGGCCACACCACCAGGCCCTTGGTTCACTTTCTATATGCCCTCAACAGCCTGGATTGGTGTAGGCTGAAACGGGGAGTTGAAAATTCAATCCAGGTCTCCCACTGAGAGGCAGAGGTCCAACTACTTGAACCATCACTATATGCTGCCTCCCAGGGTCCACATCAGCAGGCAACTGCAATTAGCAGCAGAGCTGGGACCTCAAGATATATAGGCATTTCTAACCATCAGCATTTTTGTCATAGACACCAGTTGAGCATCTCTAATTGACTTATGACCTTGTCTGTTGGAAAGTAGAACCAAATCCTAAAGGCTCATTCGACCGGACTGTCCCTCACAGGAAGTGCCAGTCACAGATCAGGGCTCTACAATTTCTATCCAACTGATCAGCTCCAGTTGGGGTTCCCACTACCCCTTCTTTGAATTTGATTAATTTGCCACAGAGGCTCACAGAACAGAAACAGATCTTCCATCCAATGATTCATTTCCAGTCCCCCTCGCCCCCCACCCCCGCCCCGTCGCCCTTCAAATATCTGCAAAGGACCAGGATGGAGGATGTCATTGCTGGGAGCCAAGAATTCAGCCAGTTCTCCCACAGGGTTGACATGAATCCAACTACTTGAGCCTCACCTGATCCCTCTCAGAGTACCCATTAGCAGGAAGCTGAAATCACAAGTGGAGTTGGGATCCTAATCCAGGCACATCAGTATGGGTTGCTGGCAGCCCACATGGCATCTTACATGCTTTGCTAAATGTCCACTCAAGAATGAGTAGGAGATGCACTTGGGAGGGTAGTAGCAAACAACCTAGGTACTTGGATCCCTCATGTTCATGTAGAAGACCAAGATGGAGTTCCTGCTTCAGCCAGACCCTGACCTGACTGTTTCCACCATATGAGGGATGAACCAGCAGATGGAATATAATCTCCTTGTCTGCCTCTCTCTCCCTGTTTCTCTGTCACTTCACCTTTCAAATCAGTCAATCAATCCATCAGGGGGGTGGGGGAAATTAAGACCAGCAAAAATATTAAGCAAATATAATGGATAAAATACTTATCTTAGTTATAAATTTATGTAGACATTATGAAACATAAAAATTTCAACAATATGGTTTTTCTAAAAGATAACCAACTACTCTAGCAGGAAAGCGACGAAATAAGAAATAGAAATGCCCAGTAAGCATGGTAAGCCTACTTAAAATTAATGTAATTAATTTAAAGTAAAATAAATAATAAAATGCTTTTTCTCTTATAAGATTGGCAGTGGTTTTAAACATATTCATGAATATGGGGCTCAGGCACTTATACTACTGGTGGTAATTTAAGTTCTTTTTAAAAATGTTTACTTTTTGGGCCCGGCGGCGTGGTCTAGTGGCTAAAGTCCTCGCCTTGAACGCCCTGGGATCCCATATGAGTGCCGGTTCTAATCCTGGCAGCTCCACTTCCCATCCAGCTCCCTGCTTGTGGCCTAGGAAAGCAGTCGAGGATGGCCCAAAGCCTTGGGACCCTGCACCTGTGTGGGAGACCCGGAAGAGGTTCCTGGTTCCCGGCTTCAGATCAGCACAGCACCAGCCATTGTGGTCACTTGGGGAGTGATTCATTGGACAGAAGATTTTCCTCTTTGTCTCTCCTCCTCTCTGTATATCTGACCTTGTAATAAAAAATAAAAAATCTTTTTAAAAAAAAGTTTACTTTTTAAAAATTAATTTAGACAATAGACATAGGACATAGAGAAATATCTTCCATCTGTTGAATCCCTGCCTGCAAAGGCCTGCAAAAGCTGACTAGAGTGGATAGGCCAAAATTAGTAAACCAGAACTCAGTCCAATCTGCCACGTGAGTGGCAGGGACCCAACTACTCGAGCCACAACTGGCTGCTTCCCAGGGTGTACAGTGGCAGGAGCAGAGCCAGAACTTGAAGGCATACACCCTTATATGGAGAGTGGACTCCCCAAGCAGCATCTTAGCTATTATACCAAATGTCTGCCCCAAATGTCAATTCTATGACTGCATGGTAATCAGTCGGGTCTTGGAATAAAGAAGGAAAGAACGTGCTCTCCAGTGTAGTTCTGTTTCCAGGCGATATCTTAGCAAAATCATTTAAGAAGATGAAAACAAGGAATTTTTCCAACCTTTATGGCATATAAGCATTAACAATACCCTAAAGACAGTATGACTGTATTAACAGAGAAATGAGAGAAAGCAAATGATGGAGTATCACGTGTCCCATGGTTCTGTTCTGCTGAGAATGGGTGCTTGGGGAATGCGGGCATGTGTTTGTATCTGCAATGGGAATGTCAGGAAGGCTGCACGCACCACATTATTAATCATTCCTAACTCTGAATGATTGGACACCAGCGAGTTTCATTCTCTCTTTTTCATTATGAATGCCATGAACATGTATTTGGGGAAGAGAGAACATGTTTTATAGAAAAACAGGCTTGAAATCAGAATAAGGAGCAGGTGCTTACATTGTTCATCAAGCGTGCACTTTCTTAGATTTATAGAAGAGTTTGACAGCTCCCAATCCGTAGAAATGATAACGTTTGAGGAGATGGAAATGCTAATTACCCTGGTTTGATCATTATACATTGGGTCCATGTATTGAATTGTAATTAAGTACCCTATTAATACAAACATTATGTGAATTTAAAAATACATTTTCTTTAAACATTAAAGAAGCTAGGGTGATGCTTTCATCTGAGAGAGCTTTCACCCATCCTTGGCTCACTTCCCAGCTCTCTGCAGCAGCAGGGTCTGGGCTGCTTCGGGTCTGTGTCGAGTCAGAGCGGAAACCTGAGAGCTGAATCCAGGCCTCCCCTTGGAGTGGCAGAGGTCTAACTACCTGAGCTGCCAGCTGCTGCCTCTCAGGCTGTGCAGTAACAGGAAGCTGGAATTGGGAACAGAGCCACGACCTGAACCCAGACACCTAGGTCTGGGATGTAACCTTCCCAGCCAGTGTCTTAGGCTAAATGCTGTGCCTGTGATGATCTTGATCAGACTCTAAGGCTTCAGGCATTTGGTATGGGAGCAGTAGTACCCTCTTATATGCCACTTTACTTGTCTGCAGAGACTGAGCCTAAGCTTGCTTTTTTCTTTTTTCCTTTTCTTTTCACTCCTAAAGAATTATTCATCTGGACTGGTGCCATGGGATAGCAAGCTAATCCTCCAGCTGCAGCACTGGCACCCCATATGGGTACCAGTTTCTAGTCCCAGTTGTTTCATGTCTGATCCAGCTCCCTGCTTATGGCCTGGAAAAGCAGTGGAGGATGGCCCCAAAGCCTTGGGATCCTTCACCCACATGGAGACCTTGAAGAAGCTCCTGACTTCATATCAGCTAGCTGCAGTGGTTGCAGCCATTTGGGGAGTGAGCAGTGGAGGGAAGATTCTCTTTTTCTCTCTTTCCTTCTTTCTCTATTCTCCTATGTGTGTGTGTCTCTTCTTATCTGTAACTCTGCCTCTCAAATAAAAATAAATAAATGAGTGAAAGAATTATTTATCTAGAGAGTGAACATTTGGCACAGCAGTGAAGCCACTGCTTAGGACACCCACATCCCATTTTAGAGTGCCAGGTAGGTTTGAGTCTCACCTCTGCTGTTGATTCCAGCTTCCTACTAATTTGCGCGGCAGGAGACAGCAGATGATGGCTCACCTACATGGATCTCTGCCCCCTTTTGCAGGAGATGTGGATTGCTTCTGAGCTCCTGACTTCAGCCCAACACAGCCCTACTGGTTGAGAGCATTTGGGAAGTAAATCATCGGATTGGAGAACTTTGTCTCTCATGTTGTCTCTGCCTTTCAAATAAATATTAAAAAAAAAGAAGAAGAAGAAGAAGAAAAGTTGCACGTCTATGTAGTTATTTGCTGCAGGATATGGTTGATTTTTTTAAAAAGATTGATGTGTTTTTATTGGCAAGTCAGATTTACAGAGAGAAAGATCATCCATCCACTGATTCACTCCCAAAGTAGCCACAGTGGGCAGAGCTGAGCTGATTCAAAGCCAGGAGCCAGGAGCTTCTTCCGGGTATCCTACATGGGTACAGGGTCCCAAGACTTTGGGCCGTCCTCGACTGCTTTTCCAGGCCACAAGCAGGGAACTGGATGGAAGTGGGTCAGCCAGAACACAATCTGGCACCCATATGGGATCCTAGCACATACAAAGTAAGGACTTTTGCCAATAGGCTACTGCATCAGGCCCAGATGTGGTTGGTTTGATAACAGTTTCAGACTAACAGTTTCTGTTTATGTATAGTTAAAATTCTTTAATTCAGAACTGTAGACGCCTACAGAAGAATCTGGATGTTACAAGTTTATGTTTGCTTTATGTTCATTTTATTCTTTGTTTTGCTTCTGTTTAGGTTGTATCATAATGAATGGGTCCAGTATGGCAAATACATCACCCAATGTAAAATCCAAAGAGGATCAGGAATTAAATGGGAATGACGAAAAGGAAAACCCATTTGCAGAGTACATGTGGATGGAGAATGAAGAGGATTTCAATAGACAGGTAAGGAAAGAAGTAGGAGGCTAATGAGGTATGCAAATCAACAGCTTTAATATTTTACACTCAGTCTGACAAAAGAAATGAGTACAGTTGGCTTTAGAATAACTTGAAAATATGTGGAAGGCCCCTGCACCCACATGGGAAACTAGAAGAAGCTCCTGGATCCCAGCTTTGGACCAGCCTAGTTCTGCTCATTTTGGTCATTTGGGGAATGAACTAGTGGATGAAAGATAATTCTCTCTCTTTCTCTTTTAACTCTGACTTTGAAGTTAAATAAGTCTTTATAAAGCAGCTGGAAGGATCAGGATTGTGGTACTCTGGATTAGGCCACCCTGTGATGCTGGTATCCCATTTGAGTACCACTTCAAATCCTAGCTGATCCATTGCCAATTCAGCTCATTACTAATGTACCTGGGAAGGCAGCAGAAAATGGCCCAAGTACTTGGACCCCTGCCACCCATGTGGAATACTAGGTTGGAATTCCAGGCTTCTGGCTTCAGCTTGTTCCAACCCTGGGCATTGTGACCTTTTGGGAAGTGAACCTGCATATTTAAGATCTTTCTCCCCTTCCCATTTCCCCTTTTCTTCTTTCTCTGTAACTCAGCCTTTCAAATGAATAAATCCTAGTGTTTTAAAGATTTATGTATTCTTATTGGAAAGTCATTTATGGAGAAGAGAGACAAAGATCTTCCAACCACTGGTTCACTCCCCAAATGGCTGTAATGATCAGAACAGAGCCGATCCGAAGCCAGGAGAAGGGAGATTTCTTCTCCCAAATGGGTAGAGGGGTACCAAGGCTTTGGGCTATCCTCTACTGCTTTTCCAGGCCACAAGCAAGGAGCTAGATAGAAAATGGCACAGCCAAGACATCCATATTGGGTCCCAGTGCTTGCAAGATGAGGATTAGCCAATTGAGCCATCACACTAGACCTAAACTAAATAAATCTTCTAAATAAAAATCAGCATAGATATAGACCTAGAATAAATAAATCTTGTAAATAAAAATCAGCATAGATATATTTCAAAATATCTGACTGTCAAGATTAAGGGTGACTTTTTTCTCTCCAATTTATCTTTTTTATTTCTAAAATTCCCACCTCTTATAAAGAAAATAGATTGCTTTTAGGATAAAGGAAATAGATACACATGTGAAGACTTTAAGAGAAAAATATCTAAAGTAAAATGCTTCAGAGGGACCAGCACGAAGCCCTAGCAGCTAAAGTCCTCACATTGAACGCACCAGGATCCCATGTGGGTGCCAGTTCTAATCCCGGCCGCCCCACTTCCCATCTCGCTCCCTGCTTGTGGCCTGGGAAAGCAGCAGAGAACAGCTCAAAGCCTTGGGACCCTGCACCTGTGTGGGAGACCTGGAAGAAGTTCCTGGCTCCTGGCTTCAGATCGGCGCAGCTCCGCCTATTGTGGCTGCTTGGGGAGTAAATCATTGGATGGAAGATTTTCCTCTCTGTCTCTCCTCCTCTTTGTATATTTAACTTTGCAATAACAATAAGTAAATATTTTTTTAAAATGCTTCAGAAAGGAAACACATCAAAGAATAGCGAGAGCAAACAGCAGTGCATGTTAAACATCAAATCATGTTCAACCCCATCCCTGAAATTGTTTTCTTCTTGTAATTTTAAATACTTAATAACAATCTGAATTACTTGAGATCAAAACGTGATCTCAAAGTGATTACTAATTATAATGTCAGTGCTGTTCTAAATCCTACTTGTGTAGCTTTTTTCCCCTCATTTTGGACTAATCTGGGTGATTTTTTTCCTTGACCACCTTTCTGATGGTGGCGCTAGTGAGCTGTGCAAATGTCCTCAGGCCATCTGCCCAGCAAGAATGGCTAAACGTGATATTGGAAGCCCGTCAAAGACCTCAGTAGAACCACACTTTTTTCCTTTTCCTTTTTTCTAATTTTTAAATTTTCTATATGCATATTTGTGAGGACTTTTCCAAGATTTATTCTTTTATTCGAAAGGCAGCTACAGAGAGAGGAGGAACAGAGACAGAGGTCTTCTATCAGCTGATTAGCTCTCCAAATGGCTTCAGCAGCTGGAGGAAATTTTTTCTGGGTCTCTCATGTGGATGTCAGAGACCCAAACACCCAGGTCAGATCATGGTCCGCTTCTTTCCCAGGCAGAGTAGAGCTATATCTGACATGCAGCAGCCAGGACTTGAACCAGCACCCTAATGGGGTGCTGATGTTGCGCTTGGCAGCTTGATGTTGCACTTGCAGCTTTCCTGCTACACCATAAGACCTGCCCCCAAGCCATACTCTTTATTGTCTGCAAAGAAGTGCAAAATATCCTGGGTACCTACTCTTTCAGTTTAGGACAGTATTTAAGAAATGCGGAATTCTAAGTGTTCATCTGTTTCTTTTTGTTTGAACAGAATGCTACACAGATGACATAGGTTTCTAGTGGTGTGCCAAGATGTGCTCTTTATATATTTTTCAGGCTGAGGGTCTCAGCACCAGAGAAGCAAGCCAGGAACTGAGAATTGGTTTTAATTTAATTTCTACTGCCCAGGTTATGGGTAGTTCTATACTTCCTGCCCCCTTTTTACACTTCTTATGAAATGGAAAATTTAAGATAGCTTCCTGGGCTGGCTGTTGCGGCGCAGTGGATTAAGCCACCACTTGGAATACCTGCATCCCATATTGAAATGCCTGATTTGAGTCTGGCTACTGTTTCCAAAGCAGCCTCCTGCTGATGTACTTTGTGAGGCAGCAGATCTTGGCTCAAGAGCTTGGGTACCCACCATCGAATCCGGCTTGGCTGGAATCCAGGGTGCTGGCTTTGGCTTGGTCCAGCCCTGTTGGAGGCATCTGGGGGAGTGAACCAGTGGATGGATGAGCTCTGTGTGCAAGTCTCTGAGAGAAAAAGAGACAAAGAGGTCTTTCATTGGTTCACTCCCTAATGGCCTCAACAGCCAGAACTAGCTTGGTCCAATCCCAGAGCTTCTCCTGGGTCTCCCACGTGGGTGCAGGGTTCCAAGTCCTTGGATATTCCTCTGCTGCTTTCCAGGCCATTGGTAGAGAGCTGCATTGGAAGTGAAGCATCCAGGACACAAGCCGGAGCCTGTATGAGATGTTGACACCACAGGTGGAGGGTTAGCTTACTATGCCACCACATTGGCCTGGCAAGGTCATTCTTGACTGCAGAGTAGTAACTTGAAAAGAAATAAGGGGCCTGACGCGATAGCAAGGTCCTCGCCTTGCACGTGCTGGGATCCCATATGGTCACCAGTTCTTATCCCAATCAATGGTCCTGCTTCCCATCCAGCTCCCTGCTTGTGGCCTGGGAAAGTATAAAATAAATAAAATAAATTATAAAAACAAATCTTTTTACAAAAAGAAGAAAAGAAAAGAAATAGGGGGAAACACCAGAAAGTCTCACAGGGCCTGTAAGTCGGAGATGCTCCTCTTGCTTGCTAGGTGGAAGAGGAATTGCAAGAACAAGACTTTTTGGATCGCTGCTTCCAGGAGATGCTGGATGAAGAAGACCAAGACTGGTTCATTCCGTCCCGAGACCTGCCCCAGGCAGTAGGACAGCTGCAACAGCAGCTCAACGGATTGTCAGTCAGCGATGACTGTGACTCTGAAGATATCTTGGTAAGACCCACATGTTATTTCTCACGTGACAGCAGGAAAAGCTTGCAGGATATGGAGTTGTGACCCCTTTCTGACCTCCTGGACCCTCCAAGCTGCTGCTTCCCATGCAACACAGAGGCTGTGATGGGTGCATACATCGAAGTCATGTGGTTCCTCGTAAAATACCGTGAGAACATTGCTGTTAGCTTTTCAAAATAGAATTGTGAGTAAGGATAAAAGTATGAACCCTGAAGAAGGCCAACGTCAACTCCTCAGTTGCTGCTGTCCTATTTTATTGCCCCCACATCTACACTTAATAAACAAAATTATGTAGTTCTGAATGATTCTGTTTTAAAATTGCTCAGGTAAGGGGGTTTTAGGCCAGCAGTTAGGGTACCCACCCACATCCCCCACTGGAATGCCTATATTCAGTTCTCAGCTCTGGCTCCTATCTCAAGCTTCCCACCAATATGTAACCCTGGGAAGCAAGGTTGGTGTCTTTTGCCAGCCATGTGGGGTATCTGGATTGTGCTTCTAGCGCCAGCTACAGTCATTCCTGGAGCAAACCAGTGGATGAGAGCTCTTTCTCTCTGCCCTTTCTACCCCACCCTCAATGTGTCTCAAACAAATAACAACAACAAAAATGTATGCCCTGCTCATTTTGGAAGGAATGTATTTCTAAAGAATCGCTCACTTATTTGAAAAGTAGAATAACAAATCAAGAGGAACAGAAAGAGGTCTTGCATCTACAAATTCACTTCTCCAATGCCCAAAGTAGCCTGGTCTGAGCCATTCTGGAGCCAGAAGCCAGAAATTCCATGCTGGTCTTTAACATGGGCCAGGGGCCCACATCCTTGGACCTTCTCCCGCCACCTTCCAAGGTGCATTAGTAGGGAGTTGGATCAGAAGCAGAGCAACTGGGACTCCAGCCAGCACTCTGACATGGAATGTAGCTCCATAAGCCAGGTTTAGCCATTTGTACCACAGCACCAGCCCCAGAAATGTATTTCTGAGAGGCCGTTTTCCCCTTACAACTAGAAGATCAGATAAGTTCATTCCCTGCCACACTGCAGTGGACAGACTGATTTTAAATGACTTGGTTGGGAGTGATTGTGCCCTGCACTCTGCCAAGGTTTTGAATACTCAGAATAGGTAACCAAAGGGAGGACAAAAAGAGAGTGTGGTAACACAGCAACTTTGATGGAAGACCCTTATTTTCAAGTTAAGGTACTTAGTGAATTCAAAAGGTCTCCTCGGAGTGGTACTTGCAGGTCTCTAAAGAGACCACCACAAAGGGAGCAGGAATGTCAAGAATATCAAGCAGGAAGGAGTATGCAAGCTGATCCGGGCTTAGTGTATCAGGAGCTAATGAGAACAGCGCGTGTTACAGGGAACTTGATTTCTCTCTACAAGTCTAAGGGGAAGGTATTGATAACAATGGGAATGGGAAGAAAATGGGTTTTAAAGTGCAGGTCACTTGGGAATTTTGTATCTCTTGGTTTTCATTTCAGAGTAAAAGCAACCTGAATCCAGATGCCAAGGAGTTCATTCCGGGAGTGAAGTACTGAGGCAGCAGAGTGAATGCTGGAGGAGCACTTGTCTGTCCCACCTCCGGGGGCAGCGCTGGAGACTAGGGGTGGGTGGGCAAGGGGTGTGTGGCCAGGGGAATCGCATGACCGCTCAGCACGGTTGTGTGGGGTTGAGCATCTGCCCTGCTCAGTCTTACTCTTACTTATGCGCCTTGGAGCAGTTCTCTTTTGTTCTACTGACTTTGATTTGCAGCAGTTTCATGGTTTTTCCAAAAAGGTTTTTTTTTTTTTTTTAACTTAGCTCATTTGTGTTAAGGAAATTGCAGTCTTTCTCCATCAGGAATGTTCTGCTGCATATGTATAAGCAAAATTAGCTGACCAAGAAAAACTGAATGTTTAAGCAATGTCCTTCTCTCACCCCTGTCCACATACCAGGGGCAGTGGACACCTGGAGGGCTACCTGTGGAGTCTGACCAGTAGGCAACAAAGAGGGGCAAGGGGATGAAACAGATGATGCAAGCCATGCCAGCAGGCTCAGCACCCTGGGCCCTGGGATCTCCCACCATGAATTGAAATTGCCACTGACCCCACACAACTCCTGAGAAGACAGAGTAGTTAACTTACAGGAGCTCAGGGTGGCTGGTGGAAGGAGCAGCCATGATGGTGATGCGCAGTAAGTCCTTTAGTTACTGTTGGCCTTTGCTGAAGCCTGTTTTTCCAGCTGCCATCAAGCTCATCATTTGAAAGGTAAAAGCGCGTGAGGCTCCTTTGCTGGCTGTTCCCATCTGCACTCCACCTCTGCCCTACTCTGCTTTTAGGATGTTGTTACCAAAGGCGTACTAAAGGTCTGCCGTCCTGGCCACCAACTGGAACCTGGAAAGGCATCCTTTCTCTTGGTAGTTGCATCTTAAATTTATTTGGACCATGTCGGATTTTGTTTGTTTGTTTTTGTTTTGGTTTGGTTTTTTTTTAGCCCATCAACACTTAGTCTTCCTGGTATCTTAATTCCCTCTGTCAAGTTTCTGTACTTTTTCAAGGAAATACATTTTTCATACACAAGCAAGAAGCTCAGTTCAGTTTGGATGCATCTCCCTGCCTTACTGAATTTCCCTAGAGGAACTCGAAACAACCTGGGGAGCAGATCCTACTTAATTGATGACTGTTTACCAGGCCCTCTAGGGTGTTTTCAGCTCTTAGCAAACTTGCTGTTTCCTGGAGAGTAGCTTTGTGAAGGTTTGGGGTTGGACCCTCTACCTTTCCTGGTGGGGGAAGGCACCAGGGGTGATCTGTGCGTGTGGAGATGTAGGTGGCAGTGTCAGATGTAAAAGACAGAGGGTCCAGGCATGGCCATGCTGCCAGGGCAAGGTAGTATGGATGCCATGTGTGGAGTGGTTTCCATGTGACTGCTACTGTGCTGTGCAAGAGGCCTGTGAAGAAAAGACCAGGCATAACTTAAAGTTGGTATGAATTCAGGATGTGCATGTGGGCCGGAGGCTGGCAGGAAAGGATGAGGGTCTGGAAAGCTGACGAACTTTGTGTGAGCTCTCTTGTTGACTACACAAGCAGCCATGAGCTAAGACCCATATCCCTCTTCCTCCTTTGTATCTAGGAGGTCCACATTTCAGGGATGGCCTTTTGTGTTAGGTCATGTGTTACAGGAGAGGAGCTCAGTGAACTCGGGTTATCGGACACACGCATTGATTCCCCAAGCCTCTGCTCTAGAGATTGGAACTGGGTGGACCATGCACAAGGGTATGTCTCTCCTCTGCTTCAGCTGGGCTTCTTGTCTCTGAGGATGCGAGATAGGAGTATGTAACAGAGGCACCCTATCTTCCTATACTGCACTTCCTCTTCACTCTCCATTTACCTGTCAGTGACATGAGGCTGTGGAAATGTGTCAGGATTGCAGAAGGCTGTTTTCTTAGGCTGAGAGTAACTCTGTCACAAGCAGCCCCACGTACCTGCATTTCACAGCCCGACTCCGTTTCTACGTCCTGAACATTTGTTTTGGTGACAGTGGGGTTGGCTGCACTGCAGGGCACCATCCAGGAGACTCATCTTTCCCTCCACAGTGCTGGTCCACTGTGGGAGGCAGTCTTTGGCATGGTTTCTCAGGGTGTAGTGGGTCAAGACTTAGCGTGGATGGAAACTGAGGGTTGGTACTTGCAGTCCTATTCAGACCCTGAGAGTGCTGGATCCAGGAGCACTAAGGTGGTCCCTGTGTTAATGGGTAGAGCCTGTGCCTCTAAGGGGTTGCATTGCCACTTAACTTTATGTTGGGAGGTTGCAGCACTGTTGTCCCCAGATGACAGGCCAGCTCCAATTTTAATTTGCCAGCAGATTAGCAGAAAAAGCCAATGGGTCTTGGAGCTTTCCTGGGGAGAGGCTGGGAACCTCTGTCTCAGAAGTTTCCTCATAGGATGGATTCTGGGAGCGAACCATGCCAGGTGCCTTTATTACCATTTAAGGATGAGGCTTGTATTTGTAAATAATAATTTTGATGTTGAGGTCAGGCTACTTCCTGGATCAAGTGTTTTCTCTTTTTTAGCAACTGGAAGTTTGGAGGTTTTGTATAGAAATAGCATGTCTTCACCAGTTGCCTATCTGGCTGGTCCCAGTGTTAGTCATGGTTAATGTCTGCCTATTTTCGTTATTGTGGTTATTTATTAGACTCAAACTCCAAGATGGAAAGAACTTATGTCCTAAGGAAAAAAAAAAAAAGTAGAGGAATGCCCTTTCCATTTCTCTAGGCCTTTGAACTACAGCAGAAAATTTGAGAATATGGCCCAGGCCTAGCTCATTTCTGACAACAGTTGTTGGGCTTGGGGAATTCAGACAGCATGGAACCCAGAAGAATAAGACACAGGCCGGGCCTTTGCAGCTTCTTGCAGTTTCCTAAGTCAGAACAGCAGGGGTCTCCTTGTTTACAATGGCTTACAAATAAATGTTGCTAGTGAAATATTAAGCAGCATTTTCAAAAGGCTCATTTGGAGGGCAGGAAGGTAAGGAAGGCAGAGGCACTTCACCCATCAGTGAGGAAAGCAGAGTGAAAAAGACAGCCTCAGCCAGCAGCCTCTAGAAGCCGCCTTCTCTAGCCTTTGGGCTGCGTGAGCCCCTTGTAGACGGTCGGCCACCCACATTCCTGAGCCAGACCGCCTCTCCTCCATCCTGCGTACCTGGAGGGAGCAGGCCACCTTCCATAAGGGCCCTGCAGTGGCACTGAGGTGTGGGGTTTGGGGGTGGAGATTGGGAAATGCCTACCTGCTAGTAAGACTCTACCCTCAATCCCTCTCCTCTGAGCAGAGGGTGGAGGGAGCAGGGACACCCTGACCCCTTGCCTTTGCCTGCAGATCCAGTCTGAGTTGTTTCACCCCTGGTTGCCTGTGGAGGCCATGAACCCTGCTGGTACATGCTGTACCCACTGAGACAGGGAGCTCTGCTGGAACATGTTGTACACAAAGGACCTCCTGCAGCCCCTGCTGTGCTTGCTGCCTGGTGAATGCCCGGGACGGAATTGGTTGCAATTTGGAGTTTTTTTTTTTTTTTCCTCCTGCGCTTGTATCTCCCTTATTGATGGTGGTGGTGGTAACAGGGACTGCTAAGCAGGAAGCCCACCTTAGGAGACTCAAGTTTTCTGGACACTGCTTCATTTTGTGCCCTTGCTTCCCAACCCACTTCTGCTGTTCTCCATCAGTCTGGTTTTAGGGGAGGTCGTGGGAATAGAACAGCTGGATACACTGATGGGTCTACTGGACAGCAACTGAGGGAGTCACTCCCAGGGAGCTGAAAAGGGACAACTGCCCCATCTGTATTTGAAAAGAAAGAGCTGCCTCGGTTTGTTGCTAAGACGCTCACCTCTGAGACGTGCTGAACTTTTCCCTGATCCTGCCTTCTGACTGACTGCCTTTTATTTTAAAATAACAAATAGTCTAACTACTTAATAGCAATAAAGTTTGTTAAATACGTACTCTACAGTTCCTAAAATAATTTGCTCTACAACAATGACATGCTTCACTTGGGCGTCAGCACTAAGCAGTAACCGTGTGCTGTTGCTCAGGAGCCTCCACACGTGTAGTTGGTATGTGAAGAGTGACTTGAGAGGCAAGGAGGGCTGTGTTTTTAAGCAACTTTGTTGAGGTGTATTCTTCCACGTGGTCAGATTCATCCATTTTCAGTGTATATTCCAGGGATCACAGACTTTCCCCAGTGGTACAGCCATGACCATCACTCAGTCTGAGTGTTTCCATCTCTCTCGATAAGATCCTTCGTGCTCAGTTACATCCCTGGACACTCCCACATGTATTTGCTGACCCTATACATTTGCCTTTTCCCTGTCGATGGAACCCTATAGTCTGTGATCTCATTTCTGATCTTTTCACTCGACTTAACATCTTTGTAGTCTACCCAAATCTAAAAGATGTTTAGGTAGTTTGTACCATTTATTACTGGGCAGCATTCCACTGAGGAGCCACACTTGGCCTGTACACAGCCTTCTGAACATGGATTTCAGCTTCCTGTGATCTACGCAAAGTCCTCTGGGTGCAGGAACTTGTAGGGAAGCCACTGTGCATCAGGGAGCACTATGTACCAGACCCAGCTTTGTCACTGGAAGCTACACAGAAACCTGAAATACTATATACATTTTTATAATTTTGCAACTATTTTATAAAGAACTTTTTGTGTTGTCTATAACGCACGGACTCTTGATGCACCTGATAAATCCACTTGATCAGTTTGGGGTATATGTCTCAAGTGGACATGAAAGTAGTCAGTGCTGTTGGATAGCTTTCCTGGCCCAGACAGGATGGGGAAAATCTCTCAACTTTCTAAATCCTCCATGCAATATTATGTCTCTGTTTATAAAGCTCAATATGTATTAAAGATTGCATTGCTATTGTCAGATACATGTTGGGCCAGTAGCAAAGGTGGAGGAGTTAAAGGGATTGGAGCCTGTGGCAGCAGCAGTCCCCAGGGTCCACACATGCCCCACCTGGCTGTTGGTGTGGATGGTCCATGAAATGTTGACTGTACCGTGGGGCAGCCTGGCACCTTCAGCAGGCCCGTGGCTGGACCTCAGATCCTGATCCCTGTTTCACAAGCATTTAAAAAGTTTTTGCTCCCCCCTGCGAGTGAATAGGACATGGTAATTATTAATATTTCTTTGGGGGGTAGACAGGGCTTTAATGAAAAATGATTTTCATAAAAATATCAACAATGGCAAAATGTAAAATTTTTGCTCTTCAAACCAAATAGCAGCTGTTGAAAAGTCTCAATAAAATGAGAATTAAGTGTGTTTGCTAGCAGTGGTACCTTTTTTCCTAAGGTCAGCTCACTGGGTCATTTCACTGCATGTCATTCCATTAGCTGTGCATCATATGCCACATGTGTAAGACTTGCAAGATAGATCATGGGTTTGGCTGCATCATTTTCCTTCCAAATAAGGTTACGTATTAAGAGTGTGGGCTTGGAAGTCACAGAACTGAGTGGATCCCACCTTACTTCTGTCTCTGTGCCGCTGGCCTGAATATTTGTAGAGGTGTGACAAATTCCCCACCACCACTCCCCCAGAGGCAATTAGGAAATTGGGCAGACTAAAAAATCTCATGGCACATCAATGGCTGTTAATATCCAGAAGCCAGTGGTGATAGCCATTTGTACATCCTGAACCCAGAGGTGGTTGACAGGCTCATAAGGCCTGAAGGGGAACTAGAGGAAGTTTTCAGCGTCTGGACAGAATGGATGCCAACCTCAGATGATTCTGTGTCTAGCCTAAGTTTTTCTGCCACTGGATGTGAGCTTGCTACTTTCCAAAGTATTGTCTTAAGTAGACACAGGCACTGCTCTTGTGATGACTTGGTGATTTGGACTTGTTTCAACTCACCCAGTTGGAATCTTCCCTGGTGATTTTGAGACTTTAACCATGATAAAAACACGATGGGACTTTTGAGTGCTATCATTTCTGTGCCTCTTCCTAAAACCAAGGAATAGTAGTGGGAATTTGAGCTGACTTGGCTATCTGTAGCAATAAGAGACACTATGGTTAGGTGTATATAGAGCAGATCTGTTATGGTGTAACGGTGTTGAACATGTGATACATGCATTTTTTTAAATGCCATCAGTTGAAGCATATTATAACAAAATACAGATATTGTAAGTGAACAGTTCTGTACATTTTCACCGAAAAAACAAGTGCGTTCATTTTTAATCCTTGGAGCACTGGTAACACCTAGAATACATCCAGAAACATTTGTGGAATGACATGGACATGCTGTTCACCTGATCATTCAGGTGGAAGAAGGTAACAGTGATCTTTCTGCAGCCCAGTGCTTGTTCCAAGTCCTCTTGCCTTAAAGCTCTCCTGTTCTTTTGTTGAGGGAAAAAGACATGCAAAAGGAAGAGGAGCAATTCATCAAAAATCACTGCTGGGGGCCAGCAATGTGACACAGCAAACTAAGCTGCCACCTGCAACACCAGCATCCCTTATCAGATCTGAGCATCAGTTCATGTCCCGGCTGCTCCACTTCCAATTCAGCTTCCTGTGGATGGCAGAAGATGGTCTGTGTGCTTGGATTCCTGTGCCCACATGAGATCCAGATGGATTTCACAGCTCCTGGCTTCAGGCAATCCAGCACCAGCCACAGCAGCCCTTTGGCAAGTGAATCAACCAGTGGAAAACACCTCATCTACCCTTCAAGTAATTCTTAGAAACCAGATTATTTCCTGCAGCCTGTGTGAGAGAGCCTTACGAATGGGAGAATAAGCAACTTCATCACTTCTAAAGGTGTTAACTAGTAAACCATCTGACCTTGTGCAGGTTAATAGTGCCTTCATTTTTTTAAACTAACTTCTGCCCTTATGTACTGTGACTAAACAGTAATTCATGATGTGCTCTTTGATCTGCTCTACAATTTGCAGTCTCTAGGCAATGGACACAGTGACTGCCACATCCTGAAGCATCTAATGTAGGCATGTTTCTCCTCACCAGAATGCCACTTGATCCTTATCCTGAGAACCAGGGCAGGAGGACCTTCAGAGCTGCCCACTCATGGAAAGTGGGATATAGCAAAGGCATCTATGGTGTGGCCTGTGCCCTGCAAGCTTTCTATCACGTGAGGTACTGAAAATTCCTGACCGTAGTACCTCAAAGGTCTGGACATGAGCGGATGTAAAAATGGCTGACTATCCGTCAAAGGGACTTGGTTTGAGTTAGCACTCAACACTCCAGCCTACTGCATCAGGTTAGAGCTGACAGGATGACAGGTGCTGCCATTCCATTCAGGCTGAGTACTCCACCGTTCAGGAACACCACTATGTGACTCAGGCAATGAGCTTGTGGCCAAGACTCCATACAGGGCCTGATCTCCATCAAGGGTTGCAGAAATTACCCCAGCGATTTAGTAGGAATGACAGTTCCCCATCCATCCTTGCAGATAGGGGTGGAGAACTCAGGAGTTTGATTTTCAAACTGTACTGGGATGCATGTCCGTCTGAGAAGTTGATGTCCATGACATGGTCCAGTTTTTTGGATTAGTTCATGCTGCACACACCTGTCTCCAGTGTTCACAGGGCAGCAGCAAGACAGAGTGTCAAGCTTGTTTTCACCTACCATACCAGGGTGCAGAGGGCAAGAAGCATGTCTCCCGCTTGGCGATGCTCCTCCTCTGCCATGCCTAGAGCCACTTACTTAGGCCTAGCTAGCTACCTTCTTGGTGCACACCACCTCATAATCTCTCAAGAACTCATTCATGTGAAAAGCTGTAAGATATGTTGCCTGAGGTACAAGTTCTCCCTGGCTAGAGAGTGCGATGTACCTACAGTTATTATGGTAATGTTTTACATGGAGATCATTTAGTAGGGCAGGCCTCATTACCCACTCTGACAACAAAACACACATCACTCATGGGTTAAAGTGCCGTCACACAGCATTTATGTCTGGGGATGTGTGCAGGAGAGGGGTGGCATACAGCTCTCATCTGCCCAAGTGCATGGTGAGTGAGCATTCTTGAGTCCTCTGGGATACCCACTGGCAGGTGCTGCGTGTGCTTGATAACACAACCCAATTGGGAAGTGAGTAAAGTGCGTTTATTTTCTTCTATGTGTTTAAAAAAAAAAAAAAACTCCTCCCCCTCCAGGACCCAATATCCACTGGGCTTGGAGGGGGTGGAGCCAGAAGTAGTGCCCTAAGAGAAGGTGTAGGAGTAGAAGGCCACGGCATTGACGTTGTAGTCCATGGGAAGGAGGTGCCCGATGTGCCTGGCCCCTAGGCTGGCTCCACCAAGGGCGGAGGAGTGCCTCAACTTCATTAGTGTGAAGCTGGAGAAAGAGTTCTGGGCCTGGATCTCCCGGCCCTGGGTCAGCGCCAAAAGGAAGCCTGCAAGGAAGAAGGCAAGATAGACATAAGCCAAGATGGAGAGTGCGGGGAAACCAGGCCCTGAGGCAATCCTGTGGAGGTAGGAAGGGGTCCGCATGGAGCACCAAGGCACGTGGGTGTGCTAATAGCCATGGGCACCCAACACTGGAGATTCCACCGTGGCAAAGGGGGCCCTTGGCTACTTCCAAATCTCCAGTGGAAGCTACTGGACGGCCGCCAGAGCTCAGCGCTCACCCTGCTCACCTTCTGGCTGGGGCCATGCTGGCCAGGAAGGCCCACACAGGTTATGGGCTGGCCAGAGCTTGGGTTTCAAGTCCAAGTTGTCTTTAATCCTAAATCACCTAAAACTGAACATCCATTCAAGCATCCAAGGTAGCTGAGTGAGATGCTGTAATAGGGCTCAGAGACAGTGCAGGCTGACCCACGCAGGCCTCAGGGCCCAGGTCCAAGTTCTCCCTGGGCCACATCCTTTCTAGCTCCATCCTCTGCCCTTGTCCCTCCCCATCCCACCCCACCTGAGACTCACCTTCCTTCAGGAGCTCCCAGCTCTTCCACACAGAGCCCACACAGAGAATGGGTAGGCCAATCTCTCCCTG